TGAAGTACCTCCACTCTCCTCTGTGACGTACTTATACACACTGTATATTCCTACAGTCTTGGATTTGAAAAACTAAACAAACTCAGATATTTACTGCAACATTCTCCATGACATGGTCTTCCAAAACATCAGCCAGTGATTGCTATATATAAGATAATGCTATACCCCATCACCTGAAGCTGAGCTGGACAAATTAAGAACAGCATGTGTAGAAATAAGGTATAAAAGAGAAGAATTACATGGTTTGTGGAGTCCTCTGAAAGAGTCAGCATGGGGACAAGGGAGATCTAGTGGATAGCCTACTCACATTTCTGAAAGGAACTCAAATTGGTTTCTCCAAAGGCTCTTACAAAAATCTCTTTTCTCAATGGAGACAGGCAACAGGTAGGTCTGTGCTGTTTTATACAGAATTTAGTGATGTATAAAACAGAATGAAGAGTGGGCTGACAGACTTTTATTGACACTAAGTTACTCAGGACAGCAAAAATAAAGGCTGATCTGCACAGGGACTCACAATACTAAGTGTCCAGGCAATAACCTGGCACATGAAATCACATGATATAAAGGTAACATAATGGGGAAGTAAAGCAATCTTAACTTTACATGAAGAGTTATGAGCCCTGGGTATTTTCATTCACAAAAGAATTGGAATTACAACGGAATGTTGGAATTACACTAGCTAGCTGCCTGCAAACTGCATCTCAGTTCTCAGTGGTACTCAAGAAAGGAAATAAAAAACGTTGGAAATTACTGAGAAAGAAAAAGAAAACAACACAGAACAGGATGCTGTTGCAAAAATGCATTTGTGCGGTCACAGTGGAGTACTGGGACAAGCTTTGGTCTTGCCACCACAAAATGCTGCTGTTACTGATTAGCCCATCATAAAGACCATTTCGGTACACCTGGCAGCTGCCTCCTGAGCTAAATTCCATGCTGCAATAAAGCTGAGCCCATCTTCTTAAGGACACTTAACTCTTCTACAGCACTTGTCATCCAGGGATCTCAAAGCATTTCACAAAGGAATGTAAGTATCATTAAGCTGGGGAAACTAAGACCTTGCACAGCAATCCAACTTGTTCAAAGTTAAATAGCTGATGAAGGCAGAGACAGAAGTGAACTCCAGTTCTTCCAATCAGCTCATACAACCACTTATGCCAGCAGTTAATTGATTGTGGTGAATTATTTTCAACAAGTCCCAAAATCAGAGGTTAGAAAACTGTTCAGTTCTCAAGCACAAGGGGAAAAAAAAAAATCTATTAAAGCTGAATGTAAGATTTGAAAAAACCCTAAATATTTGACCTGCCTTTTTGAGAAACTGAAGATTTAATATAATTTTATCTCTGAGAAATATTACAGAGCAGTTTGTGTCTGGGGCTAGTTCACAACAGCAGTTACTGGAAAAAAAGCAGCTTGGTTGACTGCCTACAGTGCTGTTTTCTGAGGTTCCTCCCCTGATCTTGCTGTGTTTTCATGGTTCACCAGTTCTTTGACAGGGATTACATTTAAAATAACACATAAGAATGTATATTTCTTAATAAAATCAGGCTGAAATTCAGTTCCCTGGCATGTACATCAAACCCTTTGCCTCTTCTTTACCATCAGAGAGGGCTGTATGATTAAAACTTGGATATGACAGTGTGAGGAAAGATACCAGAATTCAAAAAAAACCCCAAACACTAATTTGAAAAGAAAATACCTAACGGAGAGTACTTTCCTAGTGCTATTAGAAACTGAATTTCAAAGCACCCAGTGGGCTGACTGGTTAGATCTCCCCTGGGTTATGTTCGAGCCAAAATCCATTCCGGAATGAAACAACGACAGGTGATTTACCTACACTTGCTCCCTCACATTCTTTGTCAATAAAAATACAAGTTTCTCACCCAACACTCTGGGTCAGAATTTATACCCAGTTTGCTTTGCCTCTAAAATTGTTTCTAAAATAGTTTCCCTGTTTCCAGCCCAAGTCAAGGTTTAAGTTTCCTCTAAAGAGAAGTAGGAAAGCAGTCAAACAAATCTCTCTATTGCTTTGTTCAGTTTTCATACCCTTAGATATACCAGAGAATAATATGGCTTAAAGATGGACTTGAGGACTTCTACTGTGATCAAAGGGCTTTATTTTTGGCCAATCTGTGTTTCCCAGTAAGGCTCCGAACTCCTGCAGAACCTGTTTCTTGGTGTTATACCACTTGCAGTGCAGCAGTTCAATGCACAGAATCAGGGAAAATATAGAAATCAAAACCAGTGGAAATAAGTTCTGACAGGCAAAATCCTCCTATCCTTTAAAGAGACTTGGTGTCTTTAGAAGCAGGTTTTATCCCTTTGGAAGTAGGAATATTTACCAACAAGAGCACTTTAATAATTTGTTACTGGTTGGTATAATGCTGCCTCTAGAACACACGATGATGCTACCTTCGCCTAAGGGGTAACCAAGGCTCAGCTGAGCTGTACACTGGGCACTTAACTAAGGTGGGTGAAACCACTTTCAACTGCCACAGGCTGAGTGCTCACATGTGGACAGGAACTGCAATTTGATCAAGTTTTTAGACTTCAGCTTCTAGTGGGAGCCCCTTTTTGGAAATAACATTCATTTCTTCTAGTAACATTCATGTCTCTGTCTTTCCAGCAGTGCACAGAATTGTCCTGCATGTTCTTTCATAAAAGATGAACTTCAGCTGAGCATTTCCATTCTTCTTTAGATCAAATCCAACTCATCAGCTGTGACTGAAAGAGGTCAGAGTTGTACTATTTTTGAAATCTTTGTGTCTTCCATTTCTGGTGACCGTTGTTCACTGGAGAGAAGAGGAAAGCAGCACTTTGTCCCCATCTATGTTAAGGCAGAGGCATACTGACATACTTGGGGGGGTGATGTTTGCCCTGAGTACATGGCAGACGTCAAACTTCAGTGCTCTTACTCCAGCATTTCTCACGGCACCCTTGAAAGGGTCACTAACTCCAGTAATAATAACTGATGATTGAGTTATTATACACTATTTGATTTCATTTGCATAAGGATCAAATAATGAGCCTGTCAAGTTGCTTTAACACACTGCTGTGCATTTTAATTATAAACACAAGACTCAACTATCAGTTAAAAAAAAAAAAAAAAGAAGGGGGGGGAAGACACATTTTTGCTGATTGATAGAATAAGCTCCTGATCAGAGTGTATCATAACAGGAGTTTTCAGATTTACCTTTTAGACCGTATTTCCAGAGAGCTCTTTTCCTCACCCAGCAGGGCTTTCTGATGGCAGTAACCGTAAGGAGAAAGAAGGAAGGGCTTGCCCTTATGCTACTCCTCTAAATTGTATCAGCTGCTTTCCACCCCACAGTGCAAATACTGCTGTTATCTCATTAGAGTTTTAATTAGAGCTCAAGTGCAGGCCAGTGTAGGAAGGTTCAATAAACAATGTCAGTTCAGGGCAGGATAGTTATCAGCTCAGTTTAGAAAGGTCTTGAGGCTGCTCTGAATTAGAGGCAGATACAATGACCTGTATATAAAGAGGAAGCCCCCAACTGTACCACCACTTTACTGTGCTTCCTTGGGGTCTATAAATAAAGTGTTTTCTGGGGAGAACAAAGCTATTTTCATGGCTCTAAGCTACCTATGGTATCTGCCAGAGATACTATCCAGGGATTTTACAGATCTTGTTGACTTAAGGAGTTATGGTAGATTCACAGACTTCTAGGTAATGATGTGAAAACTAAATGCTCCAAGTACTGCAGACTTGCTACCTTGTGTTGTCTAAATAGGATTTGTTTGTGGTTTAGTCTCTGTATCAGTGAGTCAATTTACTGTGAGGCTGTTTGTGTTTTTGGGATGGCTCCCTTGGTGACACACAATTATATTGTGTGTGTCACCCTGATTGTATTTCTCTCCTTAGAACATAAAGAAAAGAAATTTTACATGGAAACAGACTCCTCCTACCTTATTTCTCTTTTCAGCTATGCACAATATGACCTGTTTACTGCATCTTAACAATTAACACAGAAATCAACTCTCCTGATTTCAGGTGTGGAAGCATTCAGATTAGTAGATGGCTTTCTAGGCAACAGAGAAGCTTTTTTCATGCTGAATCACATGAAAGGCACAGCACTGATGAGGTGAGAGCAGAAGGCTTGTTAGCCTTGAAAAAGCTGTCAGTGGTTGCCTGCTCTGGAGCATTTGCACCTTCTCCATTGCTGTTGGAATGGTGTAAGGGACAGTTATACGAAGTCTTGGTTTCCTAAGAGAGGGGACCCCACTGAGCCCTGTGAATTCTCTGTTAGGACATCTGCCTTCTTCCTAGATGTCGTTTACTGCAAAGGACTGGAAGAGTAGGACCTATTTTTTCAGCATTGTCCTTACTAATAGCATTAATCTTCTCCATCCACACCCAGTATTTTCTGGGAAAGCATCACTGCATTTGAGCTGAAGGTTCAAAATGAATGAGTTTCCTTATTCCTCTGCCCACTGTTCATGGCACAGGGGACAGAGTGTTGGGTAAACAGATAAACAGCCTGTAAGTTCTAGGTGGCACTGAAAAGGAAACTTAAGAACAGGGAAAGCTTAGAAACAAATACACAGCAACAATGGGGATGAAGAAGATGTAGATGACTGTATGAGGAGACACAATTCCTTACCACGATTACAGCATTTCTCTAATCCATGTGCATGATGGAATTGCCCTAGTTGTCAGGAGCTTCAAGAGGATGAGCAGATACTGTAATTTACCTCCGGTTTTTGAACATTTTTCCTTCCCACATCTCAAAACACTATACAAAGGAACGCAAACAACACTACAGAGGGAGGAGGAAAGAATGGCCTAAGGTGAAGGAAACAGCCAAAACCAGATCACTGCAGTTCTGACTTCCAGTGTTAGCTACTGTGCCAACTTTGGAGAAGATGTCTGACCTTGTTTGTGTTTTATTTTACATAAAAGCAGATGTGGAACATCACAGATGCCTATCAAATCATCCCTCAGTGGGACATGGCGGTATGCTTCCACCCACATAAATGCTTACCAGAAGAACAAGAATCACTGGCCCTTGATATATGTAGTCAATATATTTCCCTGGCTCTTTTCCAAACCAGCATCTGTAAGAAACAAAACAAATAAGAAAATAATTTATAAAGGGGAATGCACTTCTTTTAGATTTTAGTATCAAGGACACCATAAAAACATGTTCTCTTATTCCTTGAGTTGTTTAATCATGTACCTAATCAGCAAATGATTGAGTTTTCTGATACAAAGCCACTTTTTGTTTGAACACAGATTTGTGCCTTATTTTCCCCTCCAATTAGGCCATTCATGTTCCCGCAACGTTTTTGGCTATTACCCATGTAAATATTTCCAAGAAATGTGGGAACCTGCTATAAGGAGGATGCAGATGTGTCTTTCTGGATCTGAAAAAGGGATGAAAGAAATATTCTTTGCAAGGAAAAAAGCCTGTTATCTATTGCAGTGTCCAGTGAGACCTGAATTCCACAAAGTAGGGGATGTTACTGCAAATACGTCTCAAGCTGCGTGGAAATGCAAATCTAAATAAGGTACTGGATGAATAGGGACTTCATCCCATTGGCTTTGAACCAAGCTAGTGACCACCAAATCCAGCATCCTGTACAGAGACATCATTTGAAGCTAGCAAGTACCTGGTCCGACATCACCAAAAGGAAATCAGCTCAAGTTAAACCCAAGGGCCTCAAACTAGCAGAGATCCTGGATGTGTCATGTGTGACAGCGCTGGCTTGACTTGTACTTCCACTGTTTACAAGTGTCTTTCTCCATCAGCTCAGGTTAAGTGAAAGCACAGGTAAACCCAAGGGCCTCAAACTAGCAGAGATCCTGGATGTGTCATGTGTGACAGCGCTGGCTTGACTTGTACTTCCACTGTTTACAAGTGTCTTTCTCCTGCTGTGTTATACAACAGACAATGCCTGTGATTTCACAGTGACCCACAGTGAAGTTCACTTCATTGTCTTAACTGAGAGT